AATTATACATAATAATTTACCCATACATATTTCACAGTAGGTATATTATTCAAATGGTAGGTATATTGGATGACATATAATACCTAAATCCTAATCGTAAGTACATTAAAATTAATGTAGGTATACTGGATGTCGTATAATGTAGGTATATTGGAATAGATAATTATGTACACTTTTTATAAATTAAAAACAGGTACATTTTTCATACTAGGTAAATTATATTTTTCATAAAACAAACAAGTAATAGGTACATTATTTTTTCAACTATGATGGATGTACAGTATTATTCATAAACAATTATAAAGTAGATTATTAATCATGTATAATTCATAAAAAGAAAATAACATAAACAATTATAAAGTAGATTACCTAAATCCGATTTTATTGTGATTTATAAATATGTTTTGCGCAACAAATATCTATAGTTGCGTAGCATCAAGAAGTGTTGCGCGACGATACTAAAAAGTCGTCGCGCAAGGTTGTAGAAATTATCGCAACTTGCGCGACGTAAATGTTAACTTCGTTGCGCGAAGATGTGTTGCGCGATGAAGTACGTCTTTCGTCGCACATCTTGCGTGACGTACAAAAAGCAGTGACGTCGCACAACCCATTCGATTTCTCGCGCGACGAAAATATTCGTCGCGCAAGTTTTAAACTATAAATTAAATATCACGATTTCTAGTATATTAGCACAACTTGCACGACAGGAATGTTATCATTACATCGCGCAAACCTCTGGCAATGTTTTTTTTTAAGTTAAATTTTTTATTTTCTTTATTTTAAATAATTATTATAAAAATTACACATGTTACCTTAATGAACTTAAGTTTCATATGAATTACGAAAAAAATTCAAGGATTTCGGTACAATTGAAAAGTTAAATGTTTATATTTTAAATTTGAATTATTATTTTATTCTCTAATGTGAGACTTAATGTACACATAATAGTTTGTATAATAGTTTAATACTTGATTAAATCATTAAATAAGATGGGGTTGTGAGACCTAAGGGCCCGATTCTTGATTTTGTTTTTTTCATGTGTTTTTTATTCATTCAATTTGAAGATTTTAAACACAAAAAAGAGAAAACCGTAATTCTTATATTCATAATGACCACTGAAAATCAAATAGACAGATTCAAATCTGTTTTCAAATTTAGATATATATCTAAATTTAAATTTATATATTATATGTTGTAATTTCATTTGTGACTGCAAATTTTGTGTGCAACTTGATTTTAATTTGTCATTGCCATATTTACACTACCATAATTAAATTACAACAAATTTCATTTACTATGTTTTACATGGGTAGTCGCTAATAAATTGCATTATTCATCATCTGAACTATAATAACCTTCGTTATCCTTGCTATCATCACTTTCGGTCTCCCAATCCTCCTCCTCATCACTTTCATTGTTCGGGCCCACTGGAACTTCGTATCGCGGAAGATCACCGAGGTCAATTGTAATTGACTGAATCGGTATTTCGATTTAATACACTCCTTAAAACTGAAACAGTTTTTGTATAACATTTGTATCTCAAAGTGTTTCTGCATCATTTTCCATGGAAGATTCCAACCGTTGGTCAGTGACGTTGTCGATGTCGTTGTCAGTTGGGTCTAGTTCTGGTATAGCATACATGTTTCTCTGATCCATCTGCTGAGCAACTTTCCAACCACTTCTGGCTTTAGGGTCATCTAGATACACAATCTGTCTTACCATGTTTGCCAAAATGTAAGGGTCGTCATCATACCAAGTTCTGTTAATGTTCACTGATAGTAAGCCATGTTCTATTTTAACACTTCCCTGCCTATTTGGGTTTGTATCAAACCATCTACACTTAAACATGATCACATGGTATCAGTCTTTGTAAAGCAATTGCACGACAGTTGTGAGCTTGCCATAGAAATCAATGTCCGTACGCCTTCACCTAGGATATGGATACCGTTGTTTTGCATACACAACTTGTCATCTTGTGCAGTCCCCAAAAACTTGACGTCGTTAACATGGCAACCCGAGAATAATTCAGTGCAAATCGGGCCGAACGCCAAGTTATATAACTCTTCACTGTACGAGGGTGAATTCGATGATTTCAACTTAGTCACCTAATATTATACAAAAACATTCACATCTTAGTTTGATAACATTAAATAATACAATATATATATATATATCAAATACAAAACACTTATAACTTACATATTCCAAAAACCATTGTGGAAACAAATCACGGTGCTTCTTAGCATACAAATGTGATGGATGTTCTCGCTTCATCATCTCTTCATGCTCATCTAAGTATGTCATGATCTCATTACAATTGTTAAGTACGAACCAATGCACTACCTCCATGTCATTTCTGCAAAACGACTCTCCTTATACAGGATCTCCAAAGGGTCATGCGCTGAGGACGATTGAAAGCCGTGTCCACATCTTTTAAATACATTCCACAAAAAGTAAGCGACTCATATTGAACCCAAGCCTCTATAATTGATCCTTCGGGCTTCGCCCTGTTGTATACAGTTTTTTTCAGCTCTCCGAGAAGCCTGCCAAAATAAAACGAAACAATACAAATTAGCGAGCGTGGGATAAGGATGCATAAATAAATGATGAGGATTATATACTTTTCTATTGGATACATCCAGGGATAGTTGACAGGACCAGCGAGCAATGTCTCTTCTGGCCAGTGAACCATCACGTGGATCATACTTGTGAAGAAAGCTGGGGGGGAATATCATCTCGAACTTGCATAAGACTTGGACAATGTCATGGCGCAACTGATTAATGTATGCCTTTCGCAATGTTTTTGCCGTCAATTGGGAAAAAAATCTAGACAACAACATGATTGGTTTCACTACATCTTCTGGCAAAAGGTGTCGAATACCCACAGGAAGTAGGCATTGCATAAACACATGGCAGTCATGGCTCTTTAGTCCAGTAAATTTACCCCCATCAAAATTCACGCAACGCGCTATATTAGAAGCATACCCATCGAAAAACTTTACGGACGATACAAACGTTAGAAAATCTTTTTTGTCATTTGGTTTCATGGAAAAAAAAAAATGTCAGATCCCTTCTAGCTTTATCACTGTCCATGTTCATCCATAAACCTCTTCGTATGCTCATTTGTTCCAAATGAAGACGAGCTTTGTCTTACCCTCGATATCTAGAATCGTGCCCATCAATGTGTCAAAGAAATTTTTCTCAACATGCATAATGTCGAGATTGTGCCTCAATTTTAGTTTCGACCAATATGGGAGCTCAAAAAACATAGACTTGTGCGTCCAGTTCAAATGTGTAGAAGGTCTGGTCCAAGTAACTGTTTTCCCAAACGGAGAAAAATCCAAACGGCTAAGCTGTTCCAAGATCTCATCACCGAACCATTCTCTAGGTCTGAGGCGATGCTCTGTGTTCCCGTCAAACTCTTTATCCTTTTCCCGCCACTCATGGTCCCATGGAAACCATCTTCGATGACCAAGATAACAAACTTTTTCTGCCTGTCAACCAGAAGTTACATCTTCCTTGCATAAAGGGCATGCCATATAACCCTTTGTGCTCCACCCAGAAACCATTGCATATGCGGGAAAATCATTCACAGCCCACATAACTACTGCCCGCAAAGTGAACATCTTCCCAGTGGATTTATCGTACGTGCGCACACCGTTTATCCATTAATCCTTGAGCTCATCAACCAATGGGCTTAAGTAAACATCGATTGACATGCTAGGATCCTTAGTTATCAAAACAGTCATCATCATATATTCTTTTTTCATACATTTCCAAGGTGGCAAATTATACGGGAATACGAAAATCGGCCAAGTGCTATGGTGTTGATTTAGAACCCCGTACGGATTGAATCCGTCAGTGGCAAGTCTCAATCTAACATTTCAGGGATCAGCAGCAAACTCGAGGAATGTTTGATTAAACTCTTTCCATGCCTCACCATCTGCAGGATGCCGCATCACATCGTCGTCTATCCGTTTTTCCTTATGTCATCTCATATCTGTGGCAGTATGAGTCGACATATACAATCGTTGTAGCCTAGGTTTCAGGAGCAGATAACACATGACTTTTTATGGGATCTTAGTCGTTCTATTCTGAGATGTCATCTTGAACCTCGACCCTTTGCATATAGGGCATGTATCTAATGTTTCATATTCTTTGTAGAATAACATGCAATTATTTTTGCAATCATGAATTTTTTCATAACCCAATCCAAGAACATTCAACACCTTTTGCGCTTTCTATGGTCTTTCGGCAAACAATTGTCTGTCGGAAGCATTCTCTTGAACCCCCAAAAAGTAATCGAAACACAAGTTCGACATACAATACTTTATTTTTCTGTGCATTACCTCCACAATAGCCGTGAGAACAGAAAAGCTCTCCCACCCCATATATAACTCTTGGTTTGCATTTTTTAACAATCCACTACTACAAAAATTGAAATAGACGACGGTAATCCACCGTCGTGTATTTGGTTTTTCAACCGTCGTGAAATCGACCGACATCTTTTGATGCATAAAACCACGACGGTAAATCCTCATCATCTATTATTTGTAAAGACGACGATTTTACTAAAAACCGTCATCTATTATAGGTAAATAGACGACGCTTTTACTCAAAACCGTCGTCTATTTGATGTAAAGACGACGGTTTTTGTGAAAAAACTGTCGTCTATTTTATGTAAAGGCGACGGTTCTTTTCAAAGAACTATGTTTTATTATATCCAAAGACATCGGTATTTGTTAAAAAGCGTCGTTGATTGTATATGAAAAAGACGTTATGGTGTAAAAATAGGTCATTGATAATATATACAGATAACTATTTTTCCAATAAAACCATCGTTTTATTATCTTTAAATCTGTCATCTAATAAGTTCACAAGCTGTTACATTTTAGTTTTTTGAAGAGTCAATAGTTATCACACAGTCAACCAATCTTTATTCTATTACATACATATTTCCTACCTATAATTGGAAATAACGGAGCTCAACATTAAAAATATCAGTCACAATAAAATAATTCATTGCATTAAAAAAATATCAACATTCTTCCACCAAATTCACAAGCTATCCAAATTTGAACAAATTCAAATCCAAGTCTAGACATACATCTCTCTAAAAAACAAACCTGGATGACTCTACAACCCAGTCTAGATATGTCAATTGATCCAAAAACATAAAAATAAGATTCACCACAGTTGAATGACTGCAAGCTTCTGCTCTTCTGGTGGAACCTTCAAAAGCATACCTTCCCTTCTTCTGAGCCAAACTAGCAAGAAGAGTCAAATTTATCTTAGTATCCCGATCCTTTAAGTACTCTCCACTGGTAGATCCTTTAAATTAATACTCATCACTGCTTAAAATGAATATAAGACAAGATTTTAAGTTTAGTCAGGCCATGAGTGGAGAAACCAATGTTGTTACCACTAAACAGCAATGTACAAAGTCAGCAATCTTAAATTAATAACCAAAAATGAAATACAAGTCTCCTATAACAAGAGAAGTCATATGAAAGTTTATGAGAAAACGGTACAAGAGCACAATTGGAATTTTTTTTTTTACTCTACTCTGTTAATAGGATTAAAATTTACTTACATGAGGATAAATAGAGATTGACAAAGATATCGATTGGCCAATAATCAGATGTACGTTTAAATGATTTCACCAAGCTGACAGGAAAAACATAATAAAAATAATAAGTCACCTGCAGCTAAATTATCACAAGTCCACTGCTAGATGAAAATACATCAAATATAAAAGTCCAGTTTCAATAAATTTTTACCCTTTCAATTCCACTTTGGAATTTGACTCAAAATAGTAAAGGGATAAATATAGGCATGCGAATTAAATGGCTTAATATATTAAACAAACAAAATATGGCTACAAATACCACACAAAGCAGTAGATAAAAAAATTGCAATAATCAGTGCTAGAATAAAAAAGTCAGAGAGCATAAGCTCACCAATAAGACTAAAGAAAAAGGCAGCATGAAGATGAAAACCAAACAGCCAGAGATCCAAGATTTCTTACCAGAGGAGCTCTGGCAAGTTAAGTGAAATGATCAGTCACAATAAAATGAGCAAGTAACCCATATTAATAGCATCATTGAGCAAATATCATTCAGACTTCAGAGTACTAGAGACTTCAAATGAGATAAATACCAAACAAGAACAAACCAAGAAACAAAAACCATAGAATTCTATAACCAGAATAGGAGAGGCAGTGGACCCATAATGTTAAAATCTTAAAGCATGTCATCATTTTCTATGAAAAACATACAAATTCTGAAAACTTGATAAGAAAGAAAGACATGCCCACTAAAGAAAATAACAAATCAATAAATTTCAATAAAATAGTGAGCATATATAACATACCTTCCCTTCTTCTGAACAATGCAGAAGCTTTTAGAACCAAACCCAAAGACCCTTCTACTATAGCCCCAGTTTGTAATGGAATTGCAAGGGGTTTTTTCAAAACTACAGTTACTATTCAAGTTAACCCCAAGACTGCAAGAAGCCGTAGCCACAACCATTTTAAGCTTAAAAATTAACAAACGAAAAATCAGAGATTCAGAAAATTAACAATGAAATTCCAAAATAATTAAAGCAAACAACAAAAACAAAAAGTGTTTTGGACCTGATGATGTTGTCGGTCCTCAAACGGATCTAGTGAGGGATGGGTCTGTTTTGCCTCATCTTCTTCGTCAGCTTCTTCTTGATTACGAAGGCCTTGTGGGACGGCTGTGCATATTTATAAAAAACCCAAATGAGAAACTCACTTAAATCCCACGAAATTAGCACAATACATGAACAAACATATATATATATATATATATATATAAAGACCGATTTCCATAAATCTTTCTAGATCGAGTCGCTGAGTTTGATGAGCAAGTTGAGTGCCTGAGAGCGAGATCTTCTTTGAAGAAAGTGAAGGTCGAGATCTTCACCGCATCCAAACATCTCTTGATTCTCAGATCCAGAACCTCCCTCTCCATCTTGTGGATCTGTGAGCTAGAGAAAGAGACAACAAGAAAGAGAGCGTCGGCAAGAGAGGGCTTTCGAGAGAGCCAGAGTGAAGATAGCTAGAGAGTTAGCGCGATATTGAAACCAAGATGGCGACCTCAGTGACCTGGACGGCGAGATCTGTGACCTGGATGGCTCGATCTATGACTCGGATGGCGAGCTCGTAACCAAGATGGCGCAATGGAGATGGTGTTTGAGAGAGGGAGAGAGGGTTTTCTGAAAGGGTCGTGAGAGTGAGTGTTTGAGAGAGAGAGAGAGCTGTACGTGAAAAGTTAGAACTTAAATGAAATTTTTGTCCAGCGCGTTTTAAAACACGACGGTATTAGAAATGAATGGTCGTAATTTGTATTTGCGCCTTTTAAAGCACAACGGTTCCTTTTGCAACCGTCGTAGATTTTCATAGTTTTTCAAAACACGACGTTTTTTAGTTTTATGGTCGTCTATTACGGGTCGTGTTTTTCCATAATTGTAGTAGTGATCGTTCATATTGTTCGAACTCTGCACTGTCCATTAGGGTAGGCACGTCATCTTCCCCTTCCTGATTGATGTTGGTCGATGCAAATGGAAAAACATCATTTATAATATCCATGACTTGTTCATTAGGATCCACAATAAGTTCAACATTGTCCACCCTTGTGGCATTTGAAGACGAAGCATTGTCTAATTGTTCCCCGTGAAGGTTCCAAATGTTATATGTCTCAATCATTCCATTCCTCACTAAATGAAATCCAACATTTTTAATTGTCTCCCACAACGTGTTGTTACACCTCCTACAAGGACAACGGATTCTAGTTGCACCCGGGTTGTGTCTACGTGCAAACTCAATAAAATCCTCGATTCCATCCAAGTATTCGTCTACGCATCTATTTGGATTATGTATCCACCTTCTGCTCATAATTCCTGAAACCACAATCACAACACAACAATCACAACAACTTCATACGAAATTATAATGTCACATTATGCCTCCGGTAAGGGTCATATCCTATTCGGGAATGCATAGTCCTGTCACGTAACTTACGGCTACATGAGATTAGATTTCGATGTGGATGAATTTCGGCAGCATCTCGATACAGTTCTTGAGGTCGGCATAGGTATATATAAATACCTACATACCACTCGAAGAACGTACCAAAATGACACTGAAATCTCTACAATCAAAACCAAATCATATAGCCGTATATTACATGACAACACTATGCATTACCAAACTGTCCAAATAATGGGACAATTCAAGAATTAATTGGACCGCAATCATGCTTTACGCATCCATGCACGAAATCCAACTAATCTCGAATGGGAAACTAAGTGTTACTAAATAATAATAATAAAAGTAAGAAGTTAATTTAAATTAACTTCGTACATCACAACACATTGTGCTACGTCACGCACAATTTAACAACATAATATAAATATAATTTCACAACAAAAAATATAAATATAACAAACTAAATTCAACATAAAGTAATTAATTTAATATAAAATGAATAAAATACTTTCTCAATCGTTCTCCACAATCGCAAATTATAAATATCTATGATGAGAACAAAATTAATAGTGTTAGTACGAATTCACATTAATACTTTTAAACAAACGACAAATAATACTTACTCAATAACCGTATTGAATTCCTAGCAGAGGCAGTAGCACGGACAAAGAAAGGTTCTAAAAATTCTAAAAAATTTTGCATTCTGCCTCTGCAATGGAAGAACCCAGAGATGTAGACGAAGGATTTTGCGCGATGAAACAAATTTTTCGTCGCACAAACTATCGTCGTGCAAAACCATTTTTTCGTCGCATAAAATCACTTTTTTTCGTCGCGCAAGCACCTGTCAACATCGGGCTTTTGCGCGACGAAATATCTTGTTCATCATGCAAACCTTCGTCGCATAAACTCTAAACGGCGTTGCGCATACGCAAATTTCTATCGTCTAAGAATGTGCCGACATCAAACTTTGCGCGACGAATCGTATTTCCGTCGTGCAAGTATTTGGCGCCAAAAAAAAAAAGGTATCGTACGTTTTTCTGTCCATCTTTACGCGACGAAATTCGAAACCGTCGCTCCAAGATATCTTTCGCGACGATCAATATTGTCGAGCAAATGTTTGACACCAAAAAAAAAAAATAAACTCGGATTTTTCTTCCCCACTTTGCGCGACGACTCATTTGTTTGTCGTGCTAAGTTTCTTCACGCGACCAAACATTTCGTCGCGTAAGTTTTCGTCTGTTTGCGCGACGAAATTTTTTTTCCCATCGCTGGAGTGTATTTTGCACGACGAATTTTTTTTTTGTCACGCAAAATATCGTCGCGCAAATAGTAAAATGTAGTAGTGAACTTGAAGCATCTTTCATCCTCTCATTATCATTCCTTCTTAAACACTTCTTCTGTAAGCCATTCCCACAATATTTTTAAACACAAATATCCAACATCAAGAGACTATTTCCTCTTTTGGGTTAGAGACTGATGCTTTGGTTAATTCTATTGGGAGTAACTCTAATTGGGCTTGGCCTCTCTTGAGTGCAGATGAGTTAATTCATGTTAGAGTGATGATGCACAATATGCTGCGAATTCTTTTAATTTGGATGTGGTTCGCTGGGTGCCTGCGTCTAATGGCCTTTTTTTGCCGCTTCTGCTTGGGATTTTCTCCGGGTTTCAACCAATGGTATCTGCAATGTCCTTGCTTTGGTTTAACCAAAACATCCCTAGAATGAGTTTTATTATGTGGATGGCCATCAAGGGGAAGTTACCTGTCCTTGAAAGAATTGCTGCTTATCGTCCTCTTGTTGTGACGTCTTTTCCGCTCTGTCATGGCCCTCCCGAATCCATTGATCATCATTTCTTTAAATGTTCCTACTCTGAAGCTATTTGGAGTCAAATTATTCGTAAGTGTAGAGTGGTGGGCATTCCTCATTCTTGGCATCTGTTAATTCCTTGGGCCTCTTCTTCGTGGAATGGAAAATCGGCGAGATCTGTTGTCAAGAGACTTTGTCTTGCAGCTTCTGTCTACTTCATTTGGAAGGAAAGAAATTGTAGGATCTTCAGAAACTCTTTTTGCCCCCTACTGTAACAATCAAGTTAGTTTTGAATTCTGTTAGGAGTAGGCTTTGCTCTACAGGATTTAAAACTTCTCTTGCCAATGCCTTCCTTATGGAGGACTGGAATGTTTCCATTAACCAGCTGCCTTTAGGGTTTTCTGTTTTTTATTTTATTTTTGGAGGTGTCTGTCTTTTCGATGGACTGTCCTCTTTTGTTTGTTACGAGTTGGTCTTTTGACCTTCTTGTTGTTTGTTCTTGGGGCTTGCCCTCCTCGGTTATAAATTCATTTAATCACCAAAAAGATAAACTGTGTAAGGCTTACTGTCTCGAGGCCCAAGGCTTGAGGTCTTCAATCCAATGGCCTCCATGTTTCTCGTCAACTGCTTTGTCAAAAGTGCTAATCATCCTCTTATTTAAATTGCACTGACTAAAAATAAGATAATGTAATGAGGGTAATTTATTCTCAACTTCTCTGGTCATAAGTATCTAATAATACAACAAACTCATGTGCATGAGATTTGAAAGGAAGAAAAGAAAGCATAAAAAAGAAATGAAAAAAGATTTTTTCTTGCTGATATAATGAATGGTTATTACACTAAGAGGTTAATACAACATATGTTTCATATTTTACCAATATATTCTTTGATAGAGCGGAAACTATACAGAGTTATTACAGTAACAACCTATGAGGTTTTTAGTGTTTTCACAAACTCCATAAGGTTTTTGGTATTTTCACAAACTCTATGAGGTTTTAGAAATTATACGAATACCCCGTGAGGATTCAAATTTTTTCCACAAAACCTCTTTTCGTCGATTGTTCATCCAAATATTGACTATTTCATAAATGAAAAACTTATGTTAGTGACAAATTTAACTACAATGAATGTACACGCAAGATAATTTCAAAGGCTAACTTTGTCATTTGTAGAAACTTTTTGGTAGAGACTTTATCTGCAGTTGCTTTTAGGAATCCAAGTTACTTCTGGTATTTTGTTGTAAGGCTAGATATTTGTAGGCTTGGACATTACCAGCTTTTACTTTAGGTGGTAAAGATTGGTGTGTGTGCAAAGAGTATACAACTAATTTATATGTATCAAAGAGAGATAAAAAAAACCTCTTAACTAAGTTATCAAATATCATAAAAATATCAGAAACCCAAGTACTTGTTATTTGAAAGATTATGAGCAAAGCCACACTCACGTGGTTAGTTGAGTTGTGGGATTTCATTATACTTATAGAATACCGAGTACAGATACAAACAAGGGAGACAAGATCCCTAATGCAAGGCGGGAGACAAGCCTCCCTAATGCCAAGGCAGTCCACAATTCTAAGCACCTAGGAAACACGAATCAGACAGTCTATCACAAATATATGTCACGGTCTATCATTATTCTCTTCTCCAATTCTTGCATAAAATCCAACAATATAGACTCCATTAAATTTCACAAAATGACTTGGGCACAGCTCTAAGAGGGTGAGCCATCTGCAAGGTGAGGCCAAACTTCTCTTCCATATTCAAGGTCTCTGGTAAAACCCCATCTTCAAGCTTCCATTCAAAAGAGTTAATGAGTGAACCCAACATCAAGGGCAGAATTCGCATTGTCCATGACAAGCCAGGACATATTCTCCTCCCAGCACCAAATGGGATAAGCTCAAAGTTTTTCCCGGTAACATCAATTTGGTCATCCAATCCCAAGAACCTCTCAGGCACAAATGAGCTTGGGTTGTCCCAAATGCTGGGGTCTCTGCCGATGGCCCATGCATTCACAAACACTTGTGCACCCTTGGGTACAATATACCCGCATATTTCAACGTCTGAATCGGCTTTTCGAGGGAGAAGCAATGGAGTTGCTGGGTGCAACCGAAAGGTCTCCTTGATTATTGCTTGGAAGTAAGGAAGCCGAGCAATGTCTCCTTCCTCTACTGGTTTTCCTTTGCCAATGATTTTATCCAACTCTTGTTGAGCTTTTGACATCTTTTCAGGGTTGCGTAGCAGCTCAGCCATTGCCCATTCCAACGTGGCAGAGGTTGTATCTGTGCCCGCAGTAAATAGAATCTATTCACATAATAAGTCAACAAAATTAATGGTATAACAAATTGTAATGACCAAGCAATTAAAAACAAAAACAAAAACAACTAACCAGAAGCAGATGTTGAAGTTTGGTCATGTCCATGTCCTCACTGTTCACTTCACTGATGTTCAAAAGAGTATCCAATATATCATTGGTTGTGAGATAATCATGTGCTTTTCTAGATTCCAATCTTTGGCTAATGATGCGGTCAAAGACCTGTTCTATCTTCTGGACATGTTTGATCATGCGCCGCCTAATTCCCTGGGGGTCAATTTTCCTAAGAACAGGGAAAAAGTCCGCCCAGTTTGGCTTCCCTGCCTCTTCCATCGAACCCCACACAGTCTCCTTGAACTCTCTGGCCATCTCGCTACTTGCGTCAGCCAAATCCACAGAGAAGATAGTACGCGACAGCAGATTGAGCGTCGTTTTGAAAGCGGCCCTGCCAATGTCTACCGCCTCACCTTTGACCAAGCTTTCATTGACATCAGATATGAGCTCTTGCACTTTCATGCGGCGGTTGGGTTGGTTGGCGTCGAGGATTTTTGGGGCGAACAAGTGAGAGTTGCATATTTTTCGAAGGCTTCTCCATTTGGATGAAGTTGGTATCCAGGGCAGGCTGTCTCCGCGAAGGTCACTGGCTTGGATTGCATCTGGCAGGGTTCGGTTGGACAAGAATTGGTCATGGGTTTGGAGGACTTGTTTGGCTGTGTTTGACGAAGAAACAACCACCGTTGTTACTTGGCCGAGTTGCAGAGTTATAATGGGGCCATAGATATGAGAAAGCTTGGTGAAATCTAATAACCATACACAGCTGTCCATCACAACCATTGATGCAGCACCACAAAGCACCATTCAAAATGAAGCCTCAAGATTGAATCGTACATGCCAGCATGCACCAGCTAGCAAAGACCAAATATGACTCAACATATGCTCAGCATATTCTCCTCCCAAATGGTTACCTTGGCCGGTCCTTATCTATTAGTCCCTTCTATTCTATTCTAGAATATTTGTAAAAGCTGTCTATAAAAGCATTCATTTATTCACTGTGTAATATATAGAGCAAAAATATATAATACAAAATCTTCTTCATTGTCTTCTCTGCCTCGTCTTTATCTCTGCATTCCTTTTCTCTTTATGGTATCAGAGCTTCTCTCCTACCTCACGGTACCCCTATTAATATGTCTACCTCAAACAACTTTCAAAATCCATTTTCTGAAACTGTCACCCCTACCTCTGACCTCTCTTCCTCATCCTTTCCTACTGTGTCTACCCACAATGTTCCCAATCTCATGCCAATCAAGCTTCACCGAGACAATTACATGCTTTGGAAAGAACTTTTCATTCCTGTATTGCAAAACTATGATATGCTTAGCATTCTTGATGGCTCAGCTCCTGCTCCCCCACGCTTTCTTCCTCTCCCTGACCTCTCTCTCTCCACCACAGAAAATCCTGCCTTTACCCTTTGGACAAAAAAGGACCGTACCTGCAAAATTTGGCTTCATGCTTCTTTGTCTGAAAGCGTTCTGCCCTATGCTGTTGGTTGCCCCACTGCTAGAGACCTATGGCTCACTCTAGAAAAAAGGTTTGCCAACCTCACACGCTCTCATGTCCTCCAACTTAAATCACGTCTTCAGACTCTTAAGAAAGGCTCTGCCTCCATGCTTGACTATCTCCAATCCCTCAAACACATTGCTGATAGTCTTGCTGCTGCTGGTGCTCCTTTGGACACCTCTGACTTTCTTGCTCATGCTCTCTCTGGTTTGCCCTCTGATTACGATGCCTTTGCCACCTCTATCCGAGTTCGCTCTGACCCCATTCAACCAGAAGAACTTCATGGTCTCCTCCTCAGTGAGGAAATTGCTGTTGAAAATCGCCTGACTCACATCCCTCCCTCTGATTCCCACCTCCATGCCTTTCATGCCTCTCAATCCTCTGCCTCTTCCGCTCCCTCTCCTCATGCTCTCAACACATCTTCTCAGTCCTCTCGCTCTTTCCCCCCTTC